ATGTTTTTTTTTGTTTGTTTGTTTTGCGACTGGGTGTTTCTTGTCAATGGACTTCTGAATCTATACATTCCTCAGAAGTTTTTTGTTTTTCTTTTTGCTCTTCCTTGCCATTTCTTTTTGTGGTTGTTGTTTACCAGGCTTCTCCTTTTGCATTAACTTTTGTGATTGTATCTATGCAGTCAGTATTTAAGGATTGGATGTGTCTTCATAAGTGTCAACAGTGCAGTTCTACAGTGTTTAGGGGTAGCTCCATGGAGAACGTGCGTAAACCTTCAGTGTGAGTAGAGTCTCATCTGATCAATCCGCCTTTCCTTACCACTGATTATTATAGCTGCATTATCTTTGGCTGAGGAATTAAGGAAGTACCATCCATACAGTGGTTTTGTTGCCGGTCCAAGGCAAGATCACTGAGTCACAGAGAAAAGTACCATGACCTTCACAAGGCCATGAACTAATTATGAGAATACTGAGAAAAAGAACCCCTAATCCCTCATCCTCTGTGCATTCTTCCTCTTTTTATTCATGATGTCTTCTCCTTCTCTTGATCTTAATTCCCCTTGTCCTTTTTTTTCCTGCTGTCTCACTCAGTGCCTCTGCCCGCTCCTCTTCCAGCAGATCCCTTCAAGAACTTCTACTCTTGTTTCTTGAAAACAGTGAGAATTAATGGATGCTTTCTTACGTGTAGCTGAACCAAACACCATTTATCAACATGCCTCTCAGCCTGATTACTGAGGCACGCAACTTCTCCCATAACACTTATTTTCTGCTTCATCACCTTCTGCAGCTCTAAAATCCAGTGATGTCAACTCCTGAACATATTCCGATAACTATTTTGTTGAGTTTTCAGGTTCATCATCTTCTAGCTCTTTTCTCCCAAAATCATGGTGTGTGCCCACCTTCCTGTCTTAATGCTGATGCACACCTGACCTTGGCTTTGAAAACTTTCACAGATTCATTCCTCACCTCACACACTCCTAATATATGCAATCTGATTTTATCTGTGCCTATCCCTTTTGCATACCCAGGGCCAAGCTCCAACCTGCTGTCTCTCCTTTCCCACTGGACAACAAATCGCTCTCACTGCAGCTTCTGCTAAAGGCTCCTTAAGTCTGACTGACTACTATTCTGCAAATTCCATTTCAAGACTCATCTTCCCTCTCTCTGGCCTATGACTCCTAGCCTTCTTGCTAATAAAACAATCTAATACTATTCCCTAAGCCTCAGTTTCATTTCCCCATGCTCATTTGTTCTCTCTGAAAATCTGAAGTATGGCACCCAACCACTGGCCTTGTGTACATTTTTCACCCTAGCACCACTATAATGTGGATTCTGCCTGACTAAAATACTGTTCCTCTATCCATCTATTACAAATTATAATAAATTGTGAAATATTACGTTATTTTGTATGAAAATAGCTGTAAAAAATGCACTGTGTAATAGAGTACTAAGGCTATGGCAAAAGGCTGGAACACAGATTTTAACATGCATTGCCTGCTTCTTATCACACTCAATTTAATGAAAAATACATGTTTTTAAATATTATCTGAATGTTTACACTGCTCTACATAAATAAATAACCTCTTGTTTGAATTACTTGAGGAGAAATTGAATATATAAAGAGCTGAATGCTACATTAATGTCTGGGTCAAAGGTTTGTAGTACAAATTCTACAGCAGAATTTCACAGAACTGCGAGTTAGGAAATGGGAAAGAATCACTATATCAGTCAGTCCATTCTGACACCAGAATGGAATTATTCCCTATAGTATTCACCTTCTGTTGCTTCCCACATGATGGAAAGGAGGAACCTGTTTTGAGACACCATTTATTTCACTGAAGATTTCTTTGTTAGCATTTTTATTATTATTATTATTTATCTCCAGTTGGTGATTTATTATTATTATTTTTATCCTTCTTGCATTTAGGCAGCTTCTATCAGGTGTACCTTTGGACTGTCCCTATCCCCATAGGATCACACAGGGTTTTCCTAAACTCCTTCTTGCAGATGCTAGTTCTCAGGTGATATTTTGGTGCTGTCTATAAACACTACACAGGTACTTTGTTTCCAGACGTAACTATATTTCTGTGCTGAAGCATCAGAGGAACTGACCTTTAGATCAAACTGAGAGACCCCGTGAATATGCAGATAAAGGTAAGAGAGTCTACAGACTGTTCTAAGGAAGAAAACATTGTTAGCAATGCCCTTTTCAAAAATAAAAATAAAAAAGAATAAAATAGTATCTAACATAAGTATCTGCCAAGTGCATGAATGTCCGTATCGCCAATTCCCACACTCCAGTTTATGGATCACTGGCAGGCTGTGAGACTGTAATAAATTATCCACAACGAATCTGCAGCACCAGTGGTTCGCACACACCAATTAAAATAGCGACCAAGAGGACCATAGGACAGGCTGTGATGAATTCCGGGGGTTGTAAGGGTCTGCTAATCCAAAATGGTAGGATCAATATGATCGTTTCCAACGCACTGCTGTTAAATATGCTCATGTCTGCAAAACACTACGTGCAGCGGCAATGCCATTCACCCAATTAACCTGGTAAATAAATTCTCAAGAGAAACAGGACTTTGCCCTCTCCCTTCATATGGAAGAGAATGAAAAAACGCTGTTTCGATCACCGCAGCCCTGGGGTGCGACCGGCACCAACGCGCACGCGACACTCAGTCACAAAGGGTGCCGTCGGAGGAAATTGTCTGCATAAAGGAGATAACGGCTGCGCTGCAATCGCTGCTAGAGTCACACGGTGTTTCCAGCCGCCGACAGACCCGGTGCGGCCGGCTCGGCCGCGCGCCCAGCAGCAGGGCAGGGCAAGGCAGGGCAAGGCAGGGCGGCAGCCGGAGGCGCGCCTGGGGAGCGCGTGCCCGGCCAGCCGCTCCCGCCCGCACCCGGGCTCCCTGCGCCTCGCGGCCGGCCTCACGCCGGCTCTCAGCCTCAACGAATCAGAGGCCGCGAAAGCGATTTCTGTGGCGCTGATTGGCTGTCTGTCTCCGCGGCCCGGGAGGCGGCAGGGAGAGAGGCGCGCCTCCGCGGCAGAGGAGAGCGCGTCCCCGTGCCGGCCCTGCCAGCCTCGATAGCCGGGCCGCGGCTGCGGGAGGAGAATGCTGGGCTCGGCGCGGGTGTGATGCCAGCTGTCCGGGGCGCGGCTGGGGCCTCGGGTGCCTTCCGCTGAAAATAGATGTTTGCCCGTGGTTTTTCCTAGCCTACGCGATGCGTGTGTCCGGCGAGATGTGGGGGGTGGTTCTCGCTGGGATTCTTAGCGGTCCGCGGCCGCGTTAATCAGAACCGGATTTCCCATTTTAGACAAACGTTCGTCGCCCTTTTGCCAAGAGGTTACGGGCGAGCGGGCCGGCCGAAGCCAGGTGCGGAAGCTGCCCGACCCTCGGCGGGGCTGTTGGGTGCGTGAGCCAAGGGGCCGTGCCCGCTGCCGGCCCCGCTATCAGTTCCGGACGGGCGGTAATGCCGTGGGGCAACGGTATCCCTGCCCCCTCGTCCAGCGGCTCCGCCTCGACTCATACTCAGACCATCTGTTGGCAGCGATTTTACTCGGTCTGGAATGATGTTCTAACCGTGGCAGATCGCTTCCCATCACCCCTTCCCCCACTCGGCGCTCAATGCAAATCGTCTCCTACTCGCTGGATAATAATGTGAAAATGACTGTAATTTCGCAGACGAGCAGCAGCCCAAAGTGAAACGTGTCTAAACAGAGGTCGATATTGAAAAATCAGGGCTATTACCTAAATCTGAAAAATACATATCATAACGAAACAGGAGCAGCGATCCGCGGGCTGACAAAGCCCAGCCACCCCACCGGACTCTGCAGGTCCCGCAGCCGCTGCCGGGTGACAGGCGGCATCCCGCACCGGCGGCAGGCCCGGAGACATGCGGGTGTTCCCGAAAAGATAACTCGGGGAAATGTCGAGGGGCAGTGAGTCTGGCCCCGAGGTGCGAGGCGTGCCGGGTCCCACCGCCCGGCCGTCGGGTAACGAAGAGTTAAGCGCAATTTGAGGCGGAGGTGCGGCGTAATGGCTCCCCAGCTAAACAAAGACGATGATTAAGGGGGATATTTTCGAGCGACACAAAGCCCGATTGGGAAGATTTGTGTTACTAATTCCTGTGAAAGGATGTTCACGTGGTAGTTATATGGTCGCCGGCGTTCACAGTTCAGTGCGTGCGGCAGTAAATCAGGGGCCTGGAAACAAAAGGGTTATTTTCTCTCTCTCTCCTTCCTAAAAAAAAAAAAAAAAAAAAAAATCCCCACACCACTAATAAAGGCCGACCTGCCTAACTTAAGGCATATTGTCAAGACAGAGCACGGCCGTGGGCGCGGGCTGCTTCTGCCGAGGCAGCACGTGTAGCAGCCCCAGCCCGCCGGACTCTGAGCGCGGGGCAGCTGGGCGCCGAGCTGTTCCCGCACCGCCTCCGAAAGCGGCACGGGAACAGCATTCATCACCGCCGCGAAAGCCGCCTTGGAATTAAATTAAAACAAAATGAGAGTCTTCCTCTCAAAGAACGAATCATGGCACAGCGGCTCTCCACCTTGGTTTTCTGTCTTGGCCCCGCTCCCCTCCCCCCCCCGGCTCTATTTTTTTTTTTTCTTTTCTTTTTTTAAGGCTTAAATGTTACAGGAGGCAAATTGAAACGAGAAGCGAGATTTGCAGCCCGCCGGCTGCGGCTGGCGCTCACACGGTACGGCCCGAGGGCTGCGGGGATGCGCGCACAGCCCACGCTGTGCCCCGCGTGTCCGCGCGTCCCGCGTGTGTGCTCCTCGCTGCCTTACAGCCCGCCGGCAGGCAGGAGGAACGGCGGCCAATGGGAAGGCCCAATTTCATAAAAGCTGGGTTCCCATTGGCCGGGAGGGAAGGGGCATTCTGAACAAAGAAAAGTCCCTTTCAGGTACCGCTCTGGTCCCACTCCCCCTCCGCGGCCGCCGCGGGGGCACGCCGGGCCCGTGCGTGTGTGTGCGCGCGTGCGTGCGGGGGGCGGCCGGGCCTCCCCGCGCTTTTGTTTTTAATTTTCCTTTTTAGAAAGAAAGGAAGGTTCATGGTATCTGGTGCTCTCTTCTTCCCAATACAATAAATCTGTTGAAGACATTAGATTTTTTTTTTTTTTTCCAAAAATAAAAAGCGGCTGCAACAAACACACACCCAATGCAGTTAGAAGGAACAGGCCACCTCCATCCAGTACAGACCGTAAGTACGGTTGCGTGGTGTGTCTGTAGCACGAAGAGGGGGTGATTTTTTTTTTATTATTATTATTATTATTATTTTTCTGCCAAGGGTAGCGTTGGGAGCCGCAGTGAGCAGGGCGGCCGCTGCGAGCACCGAGCGGCCCCGGGCACGGCGAGCACGAGGGCAGCCGCGCGGCTGCGCGCGTACCCCGACGGCGCGCTGCCCGGGGGTGCAACGGGGCAGGGCCCGCCACAGCTCGGCACGGCGGCCGGGCGGGAGCGGGGAGGGTAGGGAGGGTGGGCGAGCGGGGCCGCCGCACGGCCCGTCACCCTGCGCGGCTCCGCGGGACGGGCGGCCCGCAGGCCCCCGCCACCCATCTTTGCCGCGGCGCAGCCAATGGCGCCCGGCAGGGTCACGTGCGGCGCGCGGTAACGGAACCGCAGCGCCGCGGGGGTTGGCGGCACTGCCTCGCGGCCCGCCCCGCCCCCCGCCGCCGCCGCCGCCGCCGCCGGCTCATTAGGCGCTCGGCTTCCCCCCGCCGCTAATTAACAACGCCGCGCTGTGGCTCCGCTCCGCGCCGTCCGGCGAAGCGGGGGAGGGGCCGCTCGCCGGGATACAACGAGGGGGGAGCGGCCTGTCCTGAAAAAAGGTCGTCGGCTGCGTCTCGCCGGGCTCCAATTACCGCAGCGCGCTGCTGAGCGCCGCTGTCGGTACGGTGCTGCCGGGGGCGCGCGGCCTGCGCTGCCCCCCCTCCCCACTCCGGCCCCTCCCGGTATCAGCGCGGCGCTCCCCGCCCCGCCCCCGCGCCCCCTGAAGTAACTCGAAGAAATCAGATCTGTCAGGACGGGCGAAAAAAATGCCACTTCCCAGCGAGCGGGCGGAATCCAGCCCGGATTTTCAGTCCTTTCTTCTCCTTTTCTCCCTTCCTCCCTTTCACTAATTTACCCGATGTTAGCACATTCTGCCGGTAACACCCGGCCGCCTGTGGGCTGTCGCACGGGATCGTTTCTCACTGCTCAGGCGGGCTCCGAGCGCGGGGCTGAAGATGGAGTGGGAAGTTGGGGATAACATTTTTATTTTATTTTTTTAAATTACTGTGACTATTATTACGATTCCGTGCTTACTCAGGAAAGCAAAACAGGCGCGCGCAAAAAAAAAAAAAAAAAAAAAAAAAAAAAAAATCAAAAAAAAAAAAAAAAAAAAAAAAAAAAAAAAAAAAAAAAAAAAAAAAAAAAAAAAGAAAAAAAAAAAAAAAGCAAAACAACAAAAAACAACAACAACAAAAAAAAACAAAACAAAACAGCAAAAGAAAACCAAACAAAAACAACAACAAAAAAAATAACCTGATGCTCCAGTTCTGACAGTGAATGCTGCCTACTGGCATGCAGAGCTGTGAGTAAGGAGCAGCGTCTTTTTTTTTTTTTTTTTTTTTTTTTTTTATTTTTTTTTGTAAGCGAGGAGGAAAAACCAAACAAGCAAAAAAGGACCTCTGATCCGAGTGCCAAAGTAGGGGAGATGTGTCACTGACCGGGCTGCGATGGTACTTGCTGCCTACTGCGTGATCGCTTGCTCTCTAAGTAAAATGAGACACAGAGCTGTTGCTGAGACGAGTGGGAACAGCACTTTGATTTGCTGGTTTAATTAAAAAAAATGATAAAGGACTGAAGGTAAGCATTCTGCATCTCTATGTATAAATATTTCGATAAGCGGCTGTAAAAGGGAGAGATCCCTTTAAAAATCGTTTTAACTGAGCTTTGTCAAACACACACTCATTTGCGGTCACTGAGGCCACCTTGGTGCAGATCACTTAAAGTGTATGTCTTAATCAGTTTCCTGTACAGTCAGTAATACTGTATTTAACAGACCTAACAATCGTGTGACTGCTAGAATTGCTTGTAGGACTGTAATCTTGAGCTGATGTTTCTTAAGAAAGATCTTACTTCTTTTCTTTCTTCCTCTTTTTTTTTTTTTAACTGTGGGTTTTGATATTTTTCATTTGTGCTTACGGGTTGTTTGTTTTTAATAGAAACCGTATTGTGTGAAGGAAAATTAGGTTTCTCCCTTCCCTCGACCTCCTCTTCCCCCCTCCAAATAAATAAATAAATAAATAAATAAATAAAAAGGGGCTTAAGTACAAAAAGGAGTAAAAAGATAATACAGAAATAACACAAAACTTCAAGGGTCTGGTTTAAAGCCACAAAATCCATGGAATGTGGTGAAGAGAGAGCCTGTGTACTTCCTTTTCTGCCTCTGGTGCCTAGGTGGTGGTCCTGGGGTTAAATTACAACATGTGCTCCCACAGCTAGGCACCAGCTCTGAGGCTGCGTTTCCTGAGCTTTGTGGATTTAAATCACCTAGCTAATGGATTTTTTTTTTTTTTTTTTCCCTTTTTCTTTTCCTGGACGTGGCTTTTGAGGATGTTGGGAGACAAGTAGGTTAAGGATGCTCACTGTGAAAGCATGACAGCTATTGCCTCTGCTTTAACAAACTTAAGGGGGAAAAAAAATGTGGGTAGCAAATGATTTCAGTCCCCCCGCCTTGGCCTTTTTGTTACTAGTTGTGTTATATTCTGGTAAGACTCACACAAGACATGTTTGACTTTTCCTCTCCTCACAGGAAAAGGTGGATGTGGACCACAAGTTACAAACCCAGACACACCTGGAAAAGGAGGACGAGAAGAATTAAATCTAGAAAAGCCCAGCGGAGATAAACGAATGTCCCCACACCTCCAAAGGAAAGTTCATCGAATTTTTACTCTAGAGATCTCATCTTCAGGATGTCATTGAACACTTCCAGTACAGGAAAAGGTGTGGATCCAAACACAGTTGACACTTACGACAGTGGCGATGATTGGGAAATCGGTGTTGGGAATTTAATAATTGATCTGGACGCAGATTTGGAGAAGGACAGACAGAAATTTGAGATGAATAATTCTACCAATACCACCACCAGCAGCAGCACCAGCTCCAAGGATTGTGGGGCTCTGGCTTCCAGTGGGGCTAATACTACCTCAGCCTTAGCTGATGGCCTAAAATTTGCTTCTGTTCAGCCCTCCGCTCCCCAGGGGAATTCCTCTCACAAAGAGACTACTAAATCAAAAGTGAAAAGGAGTAAAACTTCTAAGGATTCTAATAAATCTCTGCCTTCTGCTGCCTTGTATGGGATTCCTGAGATCGGCAGTGCTGGCAAAAGGCAGGAAGTCCAAGGGCGCCCTGGAGAGGCAACTGGCATGAATTCAGCACTGGGTCAAAGCGTGAGCGGTAACCCAAACGGCAATAATAACAGCACCAGCAGCACCACCGCCATTGCCTCTTGTGGGAAAAACAAGGAGGAGAAACCATGTAAAAGCCAGGGCAGCCGAGGCGCCAAGCGGGATAAAGATGCGGGGAAGTCCCGGAAGGACAAGCAGCACGACGTGCAGCTGGGCCCCCCCAGCGGCCCTGGGGGCGGCGGCGGTGGACAGGGCCCCTCCGGGCACCTTTATGGCTACGGGTCCAAGGGCGGTGGGGGGAGTGGCAGCCCCTTCCACTGCACCGCAGCCGCTGGGGAAGTTAGCAAAGGCGCCCCGGATTCAGGGTTAATGGGGAACTCTATATTGGTAAAAAAGGAAGAGGAGGAGGAAGAGAGCCACAGGCGAGTCAAGAAATTGAAGACAGAAAAGGTAGGACAAAGCTCCTCTCCTCTTCATAACCCCGTTTGTGACGGACTGCTTCGTGGCACACCTCCGTCCTTCCCCCACCGACGCCAAGGTGCCCCGCAGCCCGTCCCCGCTCCCGGCGGCACCTGTCCGTCCCGCACCGCGCGCAGCGCCCGGCACGTAGTGCCAGTGTCAGGCTGCGGGTGTGCGCGGGCCGTCCGCAGCGCCGCCGGGAGGCGTCGGCGGGGACGCGGGCTCCTTCCGTGGGGACGAGGGACGCCGACGGCACGGCGTGCGCGGCGCCACGGGCCCCGACGTGCGGGGCGGGCGGCGGCGGGCGGGGCCTCCGGGCCTCACGAGGGCGGGGGGTTGGGAGAGGGGGAGGTGGGGGGCGCGGAACTCTGCGAATCCTGCGGGTCCGGCCGCCGGTGCGCCGAGCGGTGACATGCAGGAGGGGCGCCGAGCGGAGGTGTGCGCTTTCCTTCATCGGCGTAGCGGAGGGTGCTTCCCCGACGAATGCCCACCGTCGCGCTCTGGGGGAGGGCGGGCGCGGTGCCGGCATCCTGCCCTGCCCGCGCGTTGAGGGCTCGGGCCCGCGGCTGCCGGCGGGGTGCCCGAAGCACCGGCAAGGTGAGCGGTGCCAGGTGGCCCGGAGTTCTGCTGGTACCGCGTCGTCTGCTCGTGCCGCTCCCCGAGCGGCGCCGCTGGGAAGACGCGCTGACGCAGCGTCCTGCGATTGTCGGCAGGGCAGAGGTCTCGGGGAAGAAGTCACCTTTCCTTAGCACCCGTCTGTGCTGCTCTCTCGTTTCTGAGGTGTTGAAGGTTTTTTGTAGCGTCCAAGTCGACTTTCCAGGATTGGATTTGTGTGTTTGTGACAGGAGTTACCAGTAAAAATCCGAAAATATTTTTCAAGGGCTTGCATTCGAGGCAGGAAATAACGTGAATTTCTCATTGTGTGCGTGTTACTGCTTTTAATGTAGCGTGTCTACGGATGAATTTGAATGAGCCTTTGTGACCTTGTCTGAACGCGGATGAGAAGAGAGGCAAACGGGTGTAATTCATACGTATACGTTTGCACTTTTATTTATGGAGGTTCTGTTCACTGTGAAAAGGTGTCATAAAGTCTCCCGCTCCCTCTATTAACTTAGTACAGTAGGCATTTGCTTTTGTTGCCAATGGTCTTCAAATTGCAGCTCTCTAATCTGTTTTAACTATCTAGATAAATTGCCCTAATCCAGTCCTCACAATGGCTGTGGTTAAGGAGTCAGAGCCGTTTGATTGGATTCAGTGGCTGCCTGGAATGTGGGAGGTACTGCCCTTTTGCAACCCCCTTAGCCTTTTAATCTTCCAGCCAAATGTTCACATTCAACAATTTTGTTTAGCTGGCAATCTGAACATTGCAGTATCTCAAAGGCTGCTGTCATGGCAACAGCGATTAGAGAGCAGTGTGGTTTCTCCCGTTTTTGTGTTCTTTTTTGCTCTCGGGTCACACGGGAGACCGCACGAAGGATACACATACGTGCCAGATGCCGCGCAGTGCACTGCGCTGTTTATCGTTATGGGTTTTTTGTTTTTGTTCTCGCCTTGGCTGGAGCTGGGTATGCATCACTTGCACAAAGCACCTTGTATCTGGAGATATATAGTTTTCAAGCCTTGCATGTTAAAAATCAGTTTCCATTTATCATCATGTTGTGAAAGGCACGTCTCATGAATTTGGATGTGTCCTACTAGACAGAAAGGAGTTAATGCCCGCTGAGTGAAAATCCAAAGGTTTTTGTATGTGGTGTGAAAGACAACGCTGCATTTGTTTACTATTTGAGAAAAGCTTGGAGCAGATTCCCAGGACTTGCAGTCACTGCGTAGTTTTCACAGCGTGCTTCAGTGTCTATTTTTGGTCTATTTATTCTGTTTCTTTGCTACGGAAAGTTGTGTAAAACATGATAAATTGATCTTACGAAGCCTAATTAAATCAGTGACTGTGTTCTGCTGGCTTTTTTTTTTAATGCAGAAACCGCAAGTATGTTGTAAAAGTTGCCACTCCCCTGGTATGTGGATAAAGTCAAAGCATGCTGTAATTCTCAGATGTTTGAACTATATTCGTGCAGCCCATTCTGTGGTTAAGCCACTGGTGACATGTCTGAATAAGTAGCTTTGACAGGTAGGCTAACCACTCCTCAGGTTCTTGGTGTTAAAACCTGTTTCCATTTTCCATCCCTTATCCATGCTTTGCCATTTTTAGCACAGTTACTGTCTGTCAGCAAGAACAAATCTTCCTCTTTTTAGCTGCATTTCCGTATTTCTAAGAGCTGCTACGTTGTTTATCTACAGCCATTTACTTTGTGTGCGTTAGGGGAAGGTTGGGGTCTGCAGCAGTCACAGCTTAACTGGGGTACGGAAGGGTTGTATTTGGAGTGTAGAGATCTGTGTGCTTTGATGAAGATAATGTGGAAAATCTGGAGCTGCAGCCCGAGGTGCTGAGCTGTGGCTTGTAATTGAATGCTTGGTGACACTCAGGAGCGAATGTCCCTCTTGTGTTGGCATATTCCTTCTCATTTGGTTGTTTAAAGGAGATGAACGTGCTGGCTGGCGTTGTCTCGCCTTGGCGCCTTGTGGCAGGACTGAAAATAAGCCATGCTTCATCGGGCGGCCTTGTGATTTGTGCCCGCTGATGTAAATCATTTAAGTACACGCTTTGATTAATGATGTGACAGAGATATGCTTTTCATGTACTGTCCCGGCTGGCCTTGGATGTAGCTTATTCACTGTGAAATAAAAGGGCAAGCGGGTCACCCGCTTCAATTAAAGAACAAAGTCTATTGTTGTTTGACAGCAAACTGTTTTGAAAGCTGCACTGGGGATCTGGCTGCTGTGGAGCAATAAGGCCAGGCGTCTGCAGCGGTGCGGCTGGAGCCTGCTGGGCCTGGCGGGCCGGGTGCGGGGCTGCAGGCAGCGCTGGGGAGCCCGCAGCCTGGTGGGGAGCTGCTGGGAAAGCGCCTGTCTTCAGCATCGGTAATTTTACAATTTTAATAACTTCGTAAATACCCAGTAAAAGGGAAGGAATTGATTATCCAGATGTCACGAGGTTAACCGTGTTCTCCGCGTTAAAGGGGCTTGCTGCAAGACTGTTTTAATTATAGCTATATAAAGACTTGTTTTTCCAAAGTAGCGTTTCATAGTCCAATAAATGAAATGTATGTTAAAAGTGCTAAGCAAAATCTCCTGTAACCACAGAGGTGTTCAATAACCAGATTCAAGTAACATGGAAAGTACCATCTGTTCCTAGTTTCCAGCCTAAAAACAGGAACCGAATGGTTGACATTTGCTCATACTTTCAAGACTCTTTTCTTTATTATTATTATTATTATTATTATTTTAAAAAGTTCACCTGGCACTTTATAGAAGCTTTGTGAGATGCAGTAATACAGGAGAGGCTGTGAAAACACGTGTTCGTACAGACAGTTAACTGGTTCTGCTTTCATGTAAAGAGATTTCCAGAAGCTCAGTCACTGAAGAATTCATAATAGAGATCACCTCCAGCAGGCAAACACAATAAGGGTCAGATCTTCAAAGGTCTCGCTGTTTGCTAGAACCTGAACGATGCTGTTTTTCCTGAAGAAGTAAGAGGAAGGAGGAGAGGCAAAAAAAAAAAAAAAAAAAAAAAAAAAAAAAAGTGACTCTCAAAAGACAACTTTAGCAAGCTGTTATCAGCTAACTAATTATGTGTAATAAAACCATTTACAAAAGTTTTCCATGCACAGATTAGAGCTGTTGATTACAGGAAAACTACTCTTTAAAGATAACTGGAGTCCTGTGCTGTTTGGAGATACCACTCCTGGCTGCAGCCTAAGCGCTGGATAAAGCGCCATCCGGCCTTTGTTTGGCCCTTTGACTGAAGCTAATAACTGGTCTTGTGGCACCCATGATAAAGAACATTATCTGTGCCTGCTCTGACAGGAGGCAGTCAGGTTGGTGGTGAGCTGTGGGGACTTCTGTGCAGTGCTGGCCAACCCACTGGCTTCACTCTGTGGTGCGCTGTGCTTTTCCACAGCGTTTGGTTTCTGGGACATCTGCTTGTTGATGATGGTGTGAGTCAGAAGTGTGAAAGGCACAGGTCTTCTTGCATGTTGAAACTCATGTTGTGGGTATATAAGAAGCAGTGGAGTGTTTTTCAGAAGCCCTATCCCCAGGCTTGCTGTCACTGATGTCTGTGGGAGAGCCTGGGCTGTTCTCTATTAACTGGACACATGCTGTTCATGTCAAACAAACACCGTGTCCCTGACACTGCTGAAATGCTGCCAGGTGCAATGCTAGCACCCTTTTCTCCCTTCTAAACTACTGGGATTGCATGTGTTCCAAAACAACACAGATTAAAGGCCACAAAACAGGGTCTGTGCAGCAGTAGGTCAGAATGACCTTCCTGAGCAAAGGGTGGAAAGAAATGGAGTATGAGATCTTGGCCAGATTGGCACTGAACAGCTGCCTTCAGAGTGCCCATTGTGTAAAGAGGCTGCATTGTAATGGTTTTTGAACTCTCTTTGTGTTTATATGCTGTGTTCCTGCGAGCCTTAGGTGGTGCTACCAGTGTGCATGGTATCTGAGCGCGTTTCACAAGCTTTGTCAGGAGGGTATTTCTGGGAACACCTTATCCACTATCAAAACTGCTACCTTTGTCTGCATTTTTGATAAATTCCCTATTATGGGTTTCCATCACCCACTCTTGGAGACATATTGCCTCACTTAGCTTGGTGTGTACTTGCTGGATGTTCTGTGTTTCTCAGAACTGTCTGTTTTTGACTTGTCAGCTGTGTGTGGCAGATTTTTCCCGTGGTACACAAGTAGGACTGCTGACTAACCCATGTCTTTGTCTGTCTTGTTCTGAACTTTGTATAGGGCACCAACAACCAGATTATTCTTTACTTGTTGTGGCTGACACTATGCCAACTTCACTGTTGTTCTTATAGAACGTTCTAATGTACATTTCATATGTCACTGCATTTCCTGAAAGGATGGAAAGGTTATCTGAC